TTGACTCCAGAACCCCAAGGGCTTACAAATAACACGAAATCTGCTTCAGAAACGTGCCAGAGCAGTTCAGTAGAAGGAAATCCACTCTGAAATGATGCCATCTAAAATGAGTCCTGCAAAGGGGGTGGGATATGAGCTGGAGGTTGAGTGATAGGGAAAGGTGAAAAGAGGAGGAAGGGGGGAGAATGGGATGAGCCAAGCCCTGAGGTGGGAGAATACAAAGGGCCTCGGTGGATAGTCCAGCTGGGATTCAGAGGCTGGTGCTAGGGAGGAGGAAAGATCAGACTTGAAAGGGTGAGCTAGACAGTGATACCACATGGAGGCCTTGAATGCCAGGCTAGGGTATGATGACTGATCAGTGGGGGCATATGGGAACGTTGGTCTGGAGGGAGCAGGCAGAATTGATCAGAGGAAAGAAAGGCAGGGAGATAGGTGAGGGGACCAAAACAGTCACTTAGAACAAGGAGTTGTCATTTGAAGTTGCTGGTGACAATGGCGGTGAAAGGAAAGTGCAGATCCCAGAGCTATGGCAAAGACAGACCTGCCCAGCACCAACTAACTATACATGATGGGAGTGAAGGAGAATGTGGAGTCAAAAGTTTGGGTTTAGTGGGAAGAGGAGGAGTTCAGTTCTAAATGTACTGAATTTCAGATGATACAAGAGAATCAAATGGAAACATGCAGGAGGCAGATGGAATTTGGCCCTGGAGCCTGGGGGAGGTGGATTCTGGGTAAGTAGGTCTGGGAGCCATTTGCAGAGATGAGAGTTGAACCCACTGAGAAGAGATGAGAGCTTTGAGGGAGAAACCACAGAAAGAAGAAAAGCAGGGAGCCAAGTCATGAACCCTGGTGATTTCACAAAGAATGAGATTGAGGAAGCTGGGAAAGGAATGGTCAAAGGGAAAAGAGGAAACTCCAGCTTTCAGCTCTCAGTATATTCACTGGTGGAGCACCGGGGCTACAACAGGGAGGAAAACACACGGCCCAACATCAGAGCCTTGCCCACGGCCTACTGTGTGTCATTGTGCAGAGGTGTAGCTGTGACCATGTCTTCCTCAGACACTGACGCAAAGGGCCACTAATGGATTCTCTCTAATAGGCCCTTTCCCTTTTGATTGTGTGTCAACCCTCACTAGGGTTTTCTCGGGGTGGACTCCAGGTCCCCTTAAAAGGAATCTTGCCCTCAGAGGAAGCAATATTTCATTGTGCCAGGAAGTGTTCTGCCAAGAAAGAAATGATTCTGATCCTGACTGAAACCAGTTTCATTGCTTTATCTTTCCCTGACAAGGAACATCAGTCTTGAAATATCATCACATGGGTTCATCTCTACTAACTCAGAAGTGTCAAAAAGTATAAAATTGGTGATAAAGTAGTAATACTATTAATAATGGAGGGCCAGTGTGTTCACTGTTGATGATACATTACTTTTAGAGAGACAGAAACTTCTTTTAATTCACAGCTTCTATGTAGAGACAGCCATTATTAGTTTTTAGAACTCCATGCATTTTTATCCCCATCCCTCCAAGTGTTTACCTAAACCTCTTCAACTGGGAGCCTCGCTGGGCATTTAACGAGATTGGCTGCTGAGTGTCAGCGTTTTTTAATGTCAGCTTCAGCGGGCCCGCTTTGCCTCTGTTTTGCTGTTAATTACACTGTACAGCAATTAACATTTGGGAACCGGCCAGGGTGTTATCCTGAACCAGCATGATGGTGTCACTACCTCGCTGGTCCTTTTCAGATCAGAAAAGACACACTTGGAGCCCATGAGAGGAGATTCTGGAGTCTAAGGTTTCAGCAGAAAGCCCAGGTAGAATCGATGGTTAAGAGCCTGGGCTTGCCATTAGGCAGACACTAGCTGTGTGATCCTAGGCAGGGGACTTAATTTATCTCTGGGGCTCAGATTCCTTGTTGGAAAAAACAGGGTTGAACAGAATAGAATAGGATTGTTGTGAGGCTCCAATGAGAGCCCATGGCCAGCATGTAGCGAATGGTGGTCTTCGCTGCTATTGTTGGACCAACAAAGGAAAACCTCCTTGCTGCTCTCTTCTCATACAGAATGATGATTGAAAAAGAAATCATGATCAAACAAGGTGAAAAAGCAGGTCAGTGGGTCTGCACTGGAGCTGTAAGGAACTTGATGTTGTCAGCTTTGGGCAGCTCTTACAACTTAAAGACCATGCATTGTACTGGGACAAGATTTACTACCATCCATCACATCTTCTAAGGGCTAAGGAAATCAAACAACTTCAGATGTTAGTTTTAAAGGATCTCTAGCATTGGAGCCCTGGTGGCACAGTGGTTAAGAGCTCAGTTGCTAACCAAAAGGTCAGCATTTCAAATCCATCAGCTGCTCCCTGGGAACCCTATGGGGCAGTTCTACTCTGTCCTATAGGGTCACTATGAGTCAAAATCGATTCGATGGCAATGGGTAGCATTGGTGGCTTAGTGGGAGAATTCCTGCCTTCCATGCTGGAGACCTTGTTCAATTCCTGGCCAATGCACCTTCTGCTCAGCCACCACCCATCTGTCAGTGGAGGCTTGTGTGTTGCTATGATGCTGAACAGGTTTCACCAGAGCTTCTAGATTAAGACAGTGTCATGGATTGAATTATGGCCCCCCAAAAATGTGTGTATCAATTTGGCTGGGCCATGATTCCTGGTATTGTGTGATTTTCCTATGTGTTGTAAATCCTGCCTCTATGATGTTAATAAGGGAGGATGGGTGTTAGTAAGGCAGGACTCAGTCTACAAGATTGGATTGTGTCCTGAGGCAGTCTCTTGAGATATAAAAGACAGAAGTAAGCCGTGAGACAGGGGGACCTCATATCATCAAGAAAGCAGTACCAGGAGCAGAGTGCTTCCTTTGGACCATGGGTCCCTGTGCAGAGAAGCTCCTAGTCCAGGGGAACATTGATGAGAAGGCCGACAGAGAGAGAAAGGCTTCCCCTGGAGCCGACGCCCTGAATTTGGACTTTTAGCCTACTTCACTGTGAAGAAATAAATTTCTCTTTGTTAAAACCATCCACTTGTGGTACTTCTGTTGTAGCAGCACTAGATGACTAAAGCAGACAGAGTAGGAAGAAAGGCCTGCTGATCTACTTCTGAAAATCAGCCAATGAAAACCCTATGGATCACAACAGTCCAATCCGCAACTGATCATGAGAATGGCATAGGACTGGGTAGGGTTTCATTCTGTTGTGCATGGGGTCACCGTGAGCTGGGTGCTGAAACTTGTTGGCAGCTAACAACAAAAAAAGTGTTTTATAAATCATTATTAGTAAAGGTATAGGCCGCCTGAGTGGTACAAATGGTTAAGTACTCACCTACTGTGATGGTTAATGCTATGTGTCAACTTGGCTAGGCCGTGATTCCCAGTATTGTGTGGTTGTCCTCCATTTTGTGATCTAATGTAATTATCTGCCATTTTGTGATATTATGTAATTATCCTCCATTTTATATGTTATAAATACTAACCTCTATATGTTAATGAGGCAGGATTAGTGTGGGGTTTATCTTGAGTCACAGCCTTACAAGAGGGTATGACTCAAGTCACACCCTTACTTAAATCCCACCCATACTCAAGTCATGTCCTTACTCAAGTCACATCCTTACTCTGATGTAAGAGGAGTTTCCTCGGGGGTGTGGCCTGCACCCAATATCTATATGGATGCTCTGGCAAGGCTCTCCTTTGTTCTGGATCTTGCATCTGGCTTGTCATCATCTGACCTCCAGGTCTTGGAAGCTGGGCTAGCAGCCTGTCGTCTGACCTACCGATTCTGGGATTTGCCAGCTTCTGAAGCCCCGTGAGCCAATAGCCTGTCATCTGACCTGCTGATTGTGGGTTCATCAGCCCCTGCAACCACAAGAGTTGGGAGAAGCCTCTAGCCTGATGCTTGACCCACAGATTCACAGATATGGGACTTGCCAGCCTCCACAACCACATAAGCTATTTCCTTGAGATAAATCTCTCTCTCTCCGAATATATGTGTGTGTGTGTGCGTGTATATGCTTCACTGGTTTGTTTCTCTAGAGAACCCTGCCTAAGACACGTACTTACCAAAAGTTTGACAGTTTGAATCCACTTGGAGGCTCCTCGGAAGAAATGCCTGGTGATGTATTTCAGAAAAGTCACAGGCATTGAAAACCCTATGGAGCATAGTTCTACTCTGAAACACACGGGGCTGCCATGAGTCAGAACTGACTCCACGGCAAACTGGCTTAGGGTTTGCTTGTTTGGTTAGTTGGCTTATCAGTAAAGGTGAGTTTCTAATTCATCCTGTTTCCCCTGCTTACCCTTGCGATAGAGAATAAACAAGTGGGTGTGGCCAGTATGTTACCACGAAACGGTGCTCTTGTTTTGGGCCATGCTCATCCCCTACACCCCAGGATGATCTTGGCACATTCTTCTGGCACCTCAATTTTACTTGACTGTAAGCTATTTAAAACAATCTTTTTATGTTATAACAAACACAAATTTTATGAAGTGCAGTGCAAAAATCGCAAGGATTCTTAAGATAAAACATGTCTTAAAAGACATTTCATGCTTTCTGCTCCCAGACCCTCCAGGGGCTCATGTTAATTCTCCTCTGCTGTTGGCAGCACATCCGTGTGAAATTCTGAGAAGCACTGGTTTCACTTATTTACTTAAAGCCCCATATGACAGGGTAATTTAAGGAGATGTAGATTAAGGATGATTTAAATATTTAGTCATTTGAAATAATATCCCTAGAAGTGATCACGCCGTTTCTCTTTTAAAAACCTCATATTTCCACCAAGAGTCCTCACTTCTATCTCCTTTTGATTATCTACTTCAGCTGGTTTCAGAGGAAACACCAGGGACAGTATTATGCTCTCTGCCTGGGGCCTGACAGCTATCCAGGCTGAACCAGAGGAATTCTTTCTTCTGATCGGTCCTCTACAAAAGGGGATGCTGTATTTCCAAATTATTAGGGTTGGAGGGAGAAGCACACACTGATGAAGAAGAATGATAACACGGCAGAAGAAACAAGCTCCCGTGGCTGGCTCTAGAAGCGAGAAGGGTGTGTTCCCACCATCACATGGAGAAGGGCATCTAATAACACGATAGTAATGAACGAGCTTTTGCAATATAAAAACAAGAGGAACCAATAATAAGAGCAGCTTCTATGGACTTCTTACTCTGAAGCTAGATACTCTATGTGCATTATCATACTCCTCACAACAATTCTAGCCCATTTTATAGAAGAGGAAATTGAGGCTCTGACTGCAGAGCCCGTATCTATTCTCCCCATGATATGCTGGCAGCCTACTTCTATTTACATCAGAACTGTCTAACACATCTGGCCTGAGCAAGCCCAACACCATCATGTGGAAAAAGAAATATTCTCTTACCTTTAGAGCCCACTCACAATCCACTAGTGCCTTTTGGTAGTCCCCGAGTTTTATATAAGCCTGTAATGACACAAACAGCTTATATTCACGTAGAAGTCTGCATCAAGCAGTCTTTAGTCAAACAGTAACATGGTAATGAGGAGTAACTGGTCCCTAACTGTATCAGCCAGGGTCTCAGCAGGAAAGAGATGCCATACTCCTACAGGCAACAGAGGAGAGTTTAATAAAGGGACTATTTAAATGGTGAGGGCAGGGTTTAGGGAAACCAGTAAGGGATGTTACAGAACCCCAGGGCCAGCAACAGTGGACAGCCATTACCAACACTAGAGCTGCAGGGGCAGAAGGTGGGAGAAACTTAACAAAAAACCGAACGGGTAGCTATACAAAAATAGCCTACTGACAGGAACTGAGGCTTTTGGTAGGGCCGAAGCTGGGAGGATAAATACCCTAACCTCCCTTCCCTCCTTCCTTCTGATCTCATTGGCTGAACCCAAATGGAAGCCAGAGGGCTGGGAAGCCAAGGGAACCAGTCTACACAGATCAGCCTCTCGGGTAGACAAGGATCTGGAGGTACAAACAGAAGATATCCAGCACATTAATCACATCTACAAAGAGAACAGGTAGCTGCTGGAGACCACTCTGCTGTGCATATTTGAGAAGGAAACCAAATGACAAAGAGAAACAAAAAGAAAGATAATAGCAAGTGTTAGCGAGGATGTGGAAAAATTTGAAACCTCATACATTGTTGGTGGCAATGTAAAATGGTGTAGTGACTTTAGAAAACAGTCTGGCAGTTCCTCACTAGGTTAAACACAGTTAACATATGGCCTTGTAATTCCACTCCTAGGTAGATACTCAAGAAAAATGAAAATTTATGTCCACACAAAAACTTACAACAAATGGTCCCTGGACACCCTTTTAGCTCAGTACTGAAGACATTCCTGAGGTTTACCCTTCATCCAAAGATTGGACAGGCCCATAAAACAAAATGAGACTAAAGGGGCACACCAGCCCAGGGGCAAGGACTAGAAGGCAGAAAGGAACAGCATTACTCATAATAACCCAAAAGTAGAAACAACCCAAGTGTCTATCAACTGATGAATGGATGAACAGAATCTGGTATATCCATACAATAGAATATTGTTTGGCAATAAAAAGAAATGCAGCACTGACACATACTATGACATGGATAAACTTTGAAAACCTCATGCTAAGTGAAAAGAAGTCCTTCACAAAAGATCACATATAGAATGATTTCATTTATATGAAATGTCCAGAACAGGCTAATCCACAGAGACAGAAAGTAGGTTAGCGGTTGCCTAGAGCTGGGGGACTGGGGGTGGAGAGGACTGGGAGTGATGGCTGAAGGGTATGGGTTTGTTTGTGAAGATGATGATAATATTCTGAAATCAATTGCGGGGATGGTTGCACAATTCTGTGAAGAGACTAAAAACCATTGAAATGCGCGCTTTAAATCGGTGAATTGTATAGTATGTGAGTTATGTATCTATAAAGCTGTTAACAAAAAAAAAATGATAAAGAAAAAGTTCTGCTTCTGTCTCATGAGAGCAGCAGGAAGGAAGAGATACAGGAAATGAGCTGACATTTAAGAGTCACGCCATCACCATGAACCTTGATGCCAGATGCCTTGCGGTACTCTTCTGCAATCCCCTATAATTGGAGAAAGTCTTGAAAATCAAGAATTGACTCAGAATTCTGTGCTCCATTCAACTAAACCAACTTAAGAATTTAGTTCATTTATAGTTTCAAAGAACTAGCAGCATATAAACAAATGAAAGTTGAGTAAAAACAAGTACAATAGCTACTATAACTTCTGTGTTAATTATTGGACACAATGGCTGTTCAATACATTCTTTTTTTTATTGTACTTTAGGTGAAGGTTTACCGAACAAACTAGCTTCTCATAAAACAGTTAGTATACATATTGTTTTATGACATTGGTTAACAATCCTACGACATGTCACCACTTTCCCTTCTCGACCCTGGGTTCCCTATTACCAGCCTTCCTGTCCCCTTCTGCCTTCTACTCCTTGCCCCTGGGCAGGCGTGCCCCTTTAGTCTCGTTTTGTTTTATGGGCCTGTCCAATCTTTGGATGAAGGGTGAACCTCAGGAGTGACTTCAGTACTGAGCTAAAAGGGCACCTGGGGGCCATACTCTTGGGGTTTCTCAAGTCTCTGTCAGGCCAGTAAGTCTGGTCTTTTTTTGTGAGTTAGAATTTTGTTCTACATTTTTCTCCAGCTCTGGCTGGGACCCTCTTTATTGTGATACCTGTCAGAGCAGTCAGTAGTGGTAGCCGGGCACCACCTAGTTGTATTGGGCTCAGTCTGGTGGAGGCCATGGTAGTCGTGGCCCATTAGTCCTTTGGACTAATCTTTCCCTTGTGTCTTTAGTTTTCTTCATTCTCCCTTACTCCAAAAGGGGTGAGACCAGTGGAGTATCTTAGATGGCCACTCACACGGTTTTAAGACCCCAGACGCTACTCACCAAAGCAGAATGTTGAACATTTTCTTTAAAAACTATAGTATGCCAATTGAGCTAGATGTTCCTGAGACTATGGTCCCCAGAGCCCTCAGTAATTTGGTCCCTCAGGGAGTTTGGATGTGTCTGTGGAGCTTCCATGACCTTGGCCTTGTACAAGCTGTGCTGGCTTCCCCAGTATTGTGTACTGTCTTACACTTCATCAGAGTTTCAAGACATTCTTAACAAGTCGCACTAAGTAGAGTTTAAGCATTCTTCTTTTGGAAAGTTCCCTAAGAAGCAGCAATTATCACCCCCATGTTAAGAAAGGCAAACAAAGTACCAGGAGGATAAGCGACTTTTGCAGGATCCCATCAGTCACCAATAAAAGAGCCAAAAATACATGCAGGTCTGCCCAGGATCAAAACTGTACCAGGACACTGTGACAGTCTTAACAATAAAGCTTATAAGATATTTACATGGGCAAGCCAATTATGGGGTCAGTTGTTGTAACTCATAGGGAATCTAAGCATTCAACCAGTTAGCCAGCTAATGAATTTCTGCAGTGCAGCTCTTGGCTCAGATGGAAATGAAGCTATGATGCGGTGCTTTCATTAACTGGGGTTCCGTACTAATCGAAGGTGACTCTCTTTGAGCTGTCCTATAAAGCACCATCCTTTCCTCCAGGGTCTGGGATTTCATTTGAACGTCAGAGGATGTGAGGAAGAAGCTAGCATCTTTCTAGACAACTGTAGCCATGATTTCAAGACATTGTTATTCAGGATATATACAGACTCTGAAAAGTCTAGGGGCTTCAACAACTTCTCTGCACAGCCTTTTATTTTTCTATTTCTCTTCTTTTTTTTTTAAGGCTTGGATTCAACACCCAGTAACTTCTTCATTCCTTTTTGCTTTTCAAAGAACTTCTTTTTTCCAAATGGCAATTAAACTCCAGATTTATCTAAATTACACCAGCAATCCATTGATCATAACATTAGCTCCAGGAAAAAAACAAGGCGATCAAAGGGTAGGCTTCCTCTCTAGCAAGTGGCAACACTCAATTCACAGGATCCTTATTAAGTGCTTTATAACACTGCATGCAAACTGGGGAGGCATTTTAAAAATAGTCAATGCTTCAAATTATTCATAACACCAGGAAGCACATTTTGTGTTTATTTGTCTCTAGATAAACTTTCTGTTTTGGGAAAGCTGCAAAGAATTGCTTCCCCAGAGATTTTCATTGCGTTTACTTGTATTTATCCACACTTGTTCTTAATGTGATTCTCCAGAACTAATCAAAGTGCTGTTTAAACTTGAGTACAGTAAAAATGTCACTAATTTAGCTGACTCAGGGTATATATAGTCTGAATTAGATGTAAGTCTGAATGACACACCATTATAAAGCAATTCAATTTTACTGCTTTAAATAACTTCAGAGTAACAAACGACTCTGCATCAAGCAAGCATCAGGAGGTAGATGTTTTGGAAACTAAATTTAGTGATAAATAAAAATAAATTATAATTAGCATATTAATTGTATTTAAATGATTCTTTTGAAGTATCACCAGAAACTTAATTGCCCTAAATGCACTTATTGTGCCTCCAATTTTATGTAACTTCTTGTTAGCTGCCGTCGAGTCGGCTCCAACTCATGGCAATCGTATGGGTAACAGAACGAAACGTTGTCCAGTCCTGTGTCATCTTCATGATCGTTGGCATGTTTTTAACCTATTGTTTTGGCTATTGTGTATTTATGAAACTTAGCAAGGAGTTGGACGTCAATTATAAACCAAGCACTTGGGGGAAAAAGTACATGGTAGTTTTTGACCTCAAAATGTCTGTAATTCCGTGAGGGTGATAAAATCAAACCTAAGTCAACCTCTGGCCATCTTATTTACCAGTTTGCTTCCTAGTAACAATTTTTTTCCCCACAAATAGGGTGAGGAAATGACACCTCAACTCTAGTCTGACTTATTCAAGCTGCTAAACTAATGAGGTTATACTGTGCTTGGATTTATTTATCTTTAAATCACTGTCCCTCTTCAGACATTCTGCCTCCTGAAGTCCTGTTTTCTTGTTTTCAATACTCTTCTTCAACGTACCACAGCAGGACGTTCTTAATCTTGAGTTACAGAAACTGGAGCTGATAAGTGCTCTGCTGCCTCTCTCCTCTTGCAAATGACAAGGCATCAAGTTCATCTCACATGGTTCCTGCTTACATATCCTGACCACCGGATGACAGTGGCTCATGAATCTGCCAACTTTCCAGCCCTGAGTAGCAGAGAAATCCTACTACGGACAAACTCAATGACTTTCCCAAGATAAGGTCACAGGTGACATTTTTGTTTCAACTGCGGAATACCAACCTTCCCCTCCAATTGTATGGAACTCAGCAAGGACTTATTGAACATATATTATAAATAAAGCATAGGGGGAAAAAGTAGGTGGCAGTTAAACAGCAGATAGTAAACATCTGGGTGGTGGTTTTTACTTGGTGTTCCAGGAAACTGAGATCACCTGTGATATAAAACTGAGGTCTTGGTGATTTCAGAACTTCAAAATATCTGAGAAATTGGCCCATCAGTTATCCAGTCTACCCCAGTCATAGAATATTAATCAAAAAGGATTGATACAATGAGAAAGAAATTAACAAGAAGATGGCCCTTAGGTGTTGGGACTACCACCAGAAAGAAGGCTGTGCAATCCCAGTGGTGGCAGGATCCAAGGTCTCATAGGTCACGTCATTCCATTATTTTCTCCTTTATCCACATGGAAAAGTGTCCGGTTACCATCAGTGATGTGCTGGGCTGACTTAGACTCTCAAGAGAGCCAACCATGTACAGCTCCTCCCAACTCCTCCTTCAGTGACTGTAGTTGGTAGCTTGAAATCAGACCACGGTGACAGTATTTACACCATGGCAGTTGGCAAACCCTACAGAAAAATCCCAGCCCTTGTCTGTCAGTTTGCCATACTGTGGTGGTTTGGGTGTTGCTGTGATGTTAGAAGCTATACCATTGGTATTTCAAATACCAGCAGGATTACCCATCATGGATAGGTTTCAGTGGAGCCTCCAAACTAAGACAGACTAGGAAGAAAGGCCTGGAGATCTACTTCTGAAAATTGGCCAATGGAGACCCTATGGATCACATCAAAATATTGTCTGATATAGTGCTGGAAGATGGGCCACCTAGGTTGGAAGGCATTCAAAATACAGAGTGACCACAACAATGGACTAGAGCACACCAACAATCATAATGATGACACAGGACAAGGCAACATTTTGTTATGTTGTACGTGGGGTCATCATGAGAAGCCAACTCAACAGCAACTAACAACGATAACAACAACAGTATACCGATTGGCTCCTCCTGTGCTCTAAACAAGAGCTGGCTGTTAAACATTTTCCAGCACACCATTGGTACCATCTAGTATTGTCTTTCTTTGCATTCACAAGCTTAGTGGTTACAATTCCCTGAAAAAATCCCATGGACACATTCTTGGCTCACTGACCTGGGCTCTGTTGGTATACAGCACTTTCATGTCCTTCAGCTTCTTCAAACCCTCACTGTAGCACAGGACAGCTGTTTCATAATCACCTTTGGCAAATGCTTCATTCCCCTTTTCCTTTAGGGCTATGAGAAGAAAAGCCATACAGGTGAGCTCTCACCATACAGTGGAAAATTATTTCAGACTATTTCTCTGATTCCCAAACTCTACTTTGAAGGTCACAGCTTCCATCAATCCAAAGGGAACTTGTCACTTGTTTCTCTCTGCAGATATTACAGGACTGGCTTCTTCATTTACATCTTTTTTCTCCAAATCCTCCCCTAAGTCTTCTAAGTAACTTCTCAGAAAAATTAATGTTTCTGCCTCAAGGGTCAGAACCAATCCCAGCTTGCCACAAAGATGAAGTCTACACATTCAATGTCTCATATAGTTGGTCAAACAATTTTCTAACAAATATGGAATCATCCAGACCTGCAGCACACATTCCATTGGGACCTGGGAGGTAGAAGGTAAATGTTGAAAGCCCTCTTCTGTCAAATGTAACCTCAACGTCTCACTCCATCTCTTTCCTTCCCCTCCCCTTTATTTCTCTTCTGCCTTCTCACATCTTTGTTCTCTTGTTTTATCTTTCTTCTATGCTTCTTCTCCACTTATGCTTTAGGCTAGCCAGTGGCACCTCACTCGATCCCTCCCTGCCTCCCAAGCATTGTTTAGTACTTCTCATAACCTTTGGAATGAAAGAAGTACCTAAAAACTGATCTAAGTCCACCTACATGCTTTGGAAAGAGGGTTGGCTGTGGAGGCCAACTGAGGCTTATGTACTGCTTCCTGCTAGTTGCAGCAGGCACAGAGAGCAGACCACCAGTGATGGCTACCTGGCCAGGTCCCATTGCCTCAGGGCCATGACAAACCCACTGACTGGGAACCTTGACGTCCTCAAACATCAGCATGTAGACCCACGTGCTCTGTTAGCACACATCATCCCAGCAATTGAAAAGAGAAGACTGACAATTACCATCTGCGAAGACTTTGTTTTCCTGTCTCCTTCTGGCTCGTTCCTTTGCATCCTTCTCTAAAGATACCAGGAAGGCCTCTGACAGTGGGGTAATTTCAAATATTAAAAAGAAAAATCCAAATACTATAATCAGTTCTTCAGCTCAAATTCAGAAGAACGCTACGTTAGAGCTTCAGAGCCACACTTCTCATGCATATACATGTGGGCACACGCACACATGCACACACACAAATTCTGAGACAACTAACATGACATTTTCTTAATTTGACATTAAATGGTAATCTGTGTGATGTATTATTATACATGATGGCTATGACTATGTTTCAAATTTGAATTATGCCTTTAAAAGATTTTTTCTTTGAAGAGAGACTTTTTTGTTCCACTTAGCATAATGAGCTGCTGAGCAGAGGAACACCAAAACTATCTGGATCCCTTGAGCAGCTGAAAGCAAATCTGACAATATAGAATAACTGAACTCAGTTTACAAAAAATTGGCCAGCAAAAAAATAGGGAAAAACCTCTGAGTGCTGGCCCCTCTGATGACTCGCAACAGAACTGGGTGATCAGTAGGTTTTTGCTCATGGGTTGTTTGTAGGCCCGGAGGCTATAATTTAAGGGTTTGAAGGCTACAATCAATAAAAACTGATCCTACATAAATAATACACATTGGGAAGAGAAATGCTGTTCTTACCTGAGTTTATCGCATCTTTATCCTGCAGGACACAGGTTATCATAAAAACAAAGAAACAGATTTTTAAAACCACTCTCTAATTTATATACATCATATAAACCAAGAAGGCAAATCAATTATAAGTGAGGAGTCAGGTCATCTCCTTTATCCACCAATACTGCAGGGCCTATGATTCCAGGAACCTGATTTCAATCAGCAGATCCGATTAGGGGCTCAATCACTATGGGGCTGAGTCTGCAGAAACAAGGCTTCCCAGGTCAAGGGTGGGAATGAGAGTTGGTAGAATATATCACCTTAACAGTACAGCTTAAATAAAGGTCATAAACTCAGGGAGGTGAGGGACCAAACTGTCAATAAAACAAACTCAAAGGGTTATTTAAAGATGACCCAGAAAGACCAAGAAGAAAAAAAGGGAGAGTTTATACTTCCTTGTGGAAAATAAATCTAGTGAATCTAAGAAGCAAAAGACTATTTCAGCCTCACCAGACAGTTTGAGATTAAACTACTCCTTGCTCTGCTCAGCCCAGAACTCCTCACTGTTATCTACTTGTATGACTCCATAACAGAAAAAGGAAACCTTCGTAGAAGCTTCTGGAGGACTGATCATGGTCTTGTTCAAGGTGGTCCTGCATTCATCCTCGTCTTGGTCTTTCTCTGTAAGCAGTAGTCTTTTTTCTGTCTCCTGGACAGCTTTCTGCCGCACGACTGGGTCATTAGAATTCATCCCCTGGATTAAATTGGCTAGAAAAGAAATTAGATGTGAATCAAACAAACAAGGTCTTCAAAAGGAAAGACTCTGTTCACTAGGAAGGATGATGTGGAAAATTCCATGGGGAAGAATTTAAAAAAGGTTCGGAGTAGAAAGCGAAAATTAGAGAAATCAGAACCAGTGAGAAAAAATAAAAATAAAAACAGGATTTATTTTGCCTAGAAAAAGCTGTAGGTGAACTTAACTACGGTAGGAACAGAGTTTTAAGCCATTATTTAATTCAACAATAATTTATGGAGCACTTATTATGAGTTAGATATTATGCTGAATACTATAGACACAAGGATGAATAAAAAAGGATCCTTGTTTTTTCAGACTTACAATCTTGTGTGGCAGACAAACATGTAAGTCGAGCAGCTCTGAGATCACAAAGCTACAGCTCCTAACCCTATCTCTACCTGTCTTCACTTTACTCCCTGTAGAGCTTTGATTCCATGGGCCATCACTGTGCCCACCGTTCTGACCCCATGATGAACTCCCTTGCCTTCCCACCCTATCTACCAGACAAAATTCCCAACCTAAATGAATCTATCATTCTCTCTTGGCCTTTGTTAGGGATGCTGAGTACTGATGCTGAGAAAGATGGATGCCTAGGGTAATTGGTGCCAACTCAATTGAACCTTCAGTGATTCCCAGCAAGTCCACTATGTTATCCTAGGCAAGCCATCCTATCATTTTCCCAAAGACTCTATAAAATTTTCTCTAGTCTAAACCTGGTCATCTCAAACAGATGATCTTAGTTAGTAATTCACAGAGGAAACAGATGACATCAGAAAGGAACTCCTTCAATTTCTTGCCATTAAATCTACAAAATTAGTGCCCAGCTACCACCACCGACTGCTTTGACAGGGATCACAATAGAGGGTCCCAGAATAGTGGCAGAAAAATGTAGAACAAAATTCAAATCCACAAAAAAAAAAAAAAAAACAACCAAAATACTAGACTTACTGGTCTGACAGAGACTGAAGGTATCCCCCAAGACTATGGCCCCTGGACATCCTGCTAACTCAGAACTGAAGCCACTCCCGAAGTCCACCTTTCAGCCAAAGATTAGACAGGAGCCCTGGTGGCACAGTAGTTAAGAGCTCAGCTGCTAACCAAAAAGGCCAGCAGTTCGAATCTACTTGCTGCTCCTTGGAAACCCTATGGGCCAGTTCTACTCTGTTCTATAGGGTCGCCATGAGTTGAAATCGACTCAATAGCAACGGGTTTGGAAACCCTGGTGGCATAGTGGTTAAGTGCTACGGCTGCTAACCAAAAGGTCAGTTCGAATCCAAAAGGCGCTCCTTAGAAACTCTATAGTGCAGTTCTACTCTGTCCTATAGGGTCACTATGAATTGGAATCGACTCATCAGCAATGGGTTTGGTTGGGTTTGGTTTTATAAAACAAAAAATAACACACATCAGGAATGTGTTTCTTAGGTCAATCAAACTATGGTATATACACACAATGGAATACTATGCAACAATAAAGAACAATGATGAATCCTTGCTCCTTGGAAAAATCTCACAACATGGATGAATCTGAGGGCATTATGCTGAGTGAAATAAGTCAATCACAAAAGGACAAATATTGTGTGAGACTACTATTATAAAAACACAAGAAAAGGTTTACACACCGAAAAATAAATCTTTGATGGTTAAGAGGGAAGGGAATGGTAGGGAGGGGAAATCACTAACTAGATAGTAGACAAGTGTTAACTTTGGTGAAGGGAAAGACAACACACAATATAGGTAAGTCAGTACAATTTGACTAAGGTAAAGTCACAGAAGATTCATAGACATGTCCAAACATCTTGAGGGATTGAGCTACTGGGGCTGATGGTTGGGGACCATGATCTCAGGGGAACATGTAGGTCAATTGGCATAACATAGTTCATAAAGGAAATGTTCTACATCCTACTTTGGTGAGTAGCATCTGGTGTCTTAAAATCTTGCGATTAGCAATCTAAGATACAACTATTGGTCCCATCACATTCAGAGCAAAGGAGAAGGAAGAAAACCAAAGACACAAGGAAAATATTAGTCCAGAGGACTAACGGACCACATGAACCACAGCCTCCATCAGCCTGCGTCCAGAAGAAGTAGATGGTGGCTGGCTACCACCACCAACCGTTCTGACAGGGATCACAATAGAGGGTCCCGGGCAAAGTGGGAGAAAAATGTAGAACAAAATTAAAATTCACAAAAAAAGACCAGACTTACTGGTCTGATGGTAAGTGGAAGAACCCCTGAGACTATGGCCCCCTGACACCCTGCTACCTCAGAATCTAAGCCACTCCTGAAATCCACCTTTCAGCCAAAAATTAGACAGGTGTGTAAAACAAACAATAACACATGTGAGGAATATGCTTCTTAGTTCAATCAAGTATACAAGACGAGATGGGCAACACCTTCCCAAAAGTAAAGATGAGAAGGCAGGAAGAGACAGGAAAACCAGGTGAATGGACACTGAGAACCCAAGGTGGAAAGGAAAACGGGAGAGCACTGACACAACGCGGGGATTGCCACCAATGTCACAAAACAATTTCTGTATAAAATTTTTGAATGAAAAGCTAATTTGTGCTGTAAACTTTTACCAAAAACACAATTTAAAAAAAGAAAAAATTTTTCTACCTTTTTAATTGAAAATATTTCAAATATACAGAAAATAACAGACATTTTTGTTTTCACACCATCTTTAAGTTAATATGTATCCTCTTCCAGCAGGTTTGAATGTCTAGTATTTGTATCATTTAGCTTTTGCTGCATAACACACCACCCCAAAATTTAGTGGCTGAAACAAACACCACTTATTTCGTTGTAGTTAGTTCACAATTCCCTGGGTTAGCATTTTGGGCTGGGCTTAGCTGGCTTGGTTTCAGCTGGACTCACACCTGTTTAAGGTCAGCTGTTGGCTTACCGTTGGCTGGAGTAATGGAGTCAACTAGACCAAGTGTGTTTCATCTTCCAGCAGGCTAGGCCGAGCTTCTTCACGTGGCCATGGTGGCAGGAGTTCCCAAGAGCAGTATGAGAGCAAGCCCCAACGCACAAGCATTTTTCAAGCCTCTGCTCATGTCATATTTGCAAACATTCCTTTGGCCTAGGCAAGTCAAATGGCCAGCCCAGATTCAAGGCGGTGGAAAAACAGCACACTTGACAGGAGGAAAGGAATTTGTGAACATTTTTGCAATCTACTGGAGTATTTGTGTATATGTGTGTATTTAAGTGAGGTCTCTGGGTGGTGCAAATGGTTTGTGACTGGCTAATAACCGAAAGGTTGGAGGTTCAAATACACCCAGTGGTGCATGGAAGAAAGGCCTGGCAATCTACTTTCATTAGATTGCTGTTGTGTGCTGTCAAGTCGATTCCGACTCACAGTGACCCCATATAACAAAGTAGAACTGCCTCGTAGGATTTCCTTGGCTAAAATATTTATGGGAGCAGAGTGCCAGGTCTCTTCTCCCACGGAGCCGCTGGGTAGGTTCAAACCACCAATCTTTCAGTTAGCAGTCAAGTGCTTTAACCATTGCACCACCAGGGCTCCTTTTGATGTAAGATTACACCCATCGAAAACCTTACAGAGTGCAGTTCTACCCTGAAACACAGGAGGTCACCATGAGTTGGAATTGACTCAATGGCAACGAATTTGTTTTTTTGTGTGTATTTAAACATTTCATATAAATATATCAAACGTACATTCTTTTGCAACCTACTTTTTTCTCTTAATATGCTTTAGAGATTTGTTCTTGGTATGTTCTAGTTAACTCATTTTAATCATTGTATAAACCACAGTTAATCCATTCTCTTATCGATGGACATGTAAGTTGTTTTCAATTTTTATTTTTTGCTATTACAAATAATGCTGAATTAAATATCTGTGTACATATTTCCTTGTGCACATATGCAATATATTCTTTAGGATATGGCTGTACCAATTTTTAGTCCCACAAATAGTGTACAAGAGTTCTCATTCCTCCACACCTTTGCAAATCCTTGCTATTGTCTAACTTTTAATTTGTTGCCACTATAATGGATTGGAATGGTATCTCATTAATCTTTTAATTTGCATTCTCCTGAATATGACTGGAATTGAACATCCTTTCATTGGTTTGTAGGCCATTTGGATTTTCACTTCAGTAAACTGTCTGTTCCCGTATGTGGCCAATTTTCTATTGGGTTGTTTATCTTTTTAAATTTAATTTACATGATTTCTTTACATATTCTTTAATGGTTGTAAGCATTTGCAAATACTTTCTCCTTGGGTATCGTTTGCCTTTTCATTTGTTTTTATCAGGGCTTCAAACCAGTTCATTCTGGTTTGACCCCCTGCTGAGAATTTGCATTTCCACCCCATGATACACTGAATCAGAATCTAAATGTTAACGAGATCCCCAGGTGACTCTTATGTATACATAAGAATCTTGTTAAACTGTATACGTAAGAATCACCTGGGGATCTTGTTTAAAACGTATATATAAGAATCATCCAGGGACCTTGTTAAAATGTATGCATTTATACACCAGTTTGTAGCCCTGGTTTTTATAGACCCTTTTGTTGAAAAGGTTTTTAAAAATTTTAGTGTGTCGAATGTACCAATCTTTTCCTTTATAATTCACACTTTTTGCATCATTTAAGGTTATATTGTCTTCTAAAACGTTTAAAGTTTTGTTTTTTTCATTAAGGTATTTAATCTACTGGGAGGTGATTTTTGTGTAGGGCATGAACACTGTTTTTTTTTATTTTATTGTACTTTAGGGGAAGGTTTACAGAGCAAATTAGTTTCTCATTAAACAATTAATACACATATAGTTTTGTGACATTGGTTGCCAACCCCATGACATGTCAACAGTCTCTCCTTTTTGACCTTGGGTTCTCCATTTCCGTTCGTCCACCTTTCCTGTCCCCTCCTGCCTTCTCGCCCTTGTCCCTGGGCTGGTGTGCCCATTTAGCCTCATATACGTGGTTGAGACATGTATGTTATTGTTTGTTG